GTTCAAGGAAAGGAATACACGTTACCTGAAATAGAAAGTCATGTCGTGCCGAAAGAGTATTTAGCTCCCGATGAAACTAAATGGAACTTGAGGTTCTCCAGTGGCTTGAATGCGACAGAACAAAAACATACTGGATTAAGAGAACAAACAGGTCCTCGTTATAGGCGACATGAAATGACGTTCTTAACCCCTTCTTGTTTTGAATTGCGCTTAAAGGTAAGGGAATGTTTCATTTTATCAAAACGAAGTGATCTGAAGTGAAATGCAGTATTCACACTTATCATGGCAGTGCATGTGTTCTTGTATTGTTACCATTCTAAGGTAGTTAAGATTGCACTTCAATTATCCGAGGTGCCATTCATCTAGACGATGTACTCGGACCCCACTGACATTGTGGGGCTCCAATCTTGAAAAGTATTTTACTCTTCCTACAAGGTTTTCGTTATACCGGACCAAAAAAGTAGATACCAAAGTGCTAAATGTCCTCACGAAATACACAATGTGATAATGAGCTCTGACTCTCCTCCGTACTTCTACATCTGCGAGGCCACCTATAAAACAGCTTTGGTAGACATCTTTGAGCCTTCAGCACAAGTGGACATTCGCCTGATAGCCGAAGCAAGTAAGTCAGTGGTTTCTAATACGTAGCCTTGGAAATACTTATAAGTAATACCATGGAACGAGGGAAATTAGTGATTAAATTTCCCCGGAAACCGAGGGAAAATTTGTGGAAGTCCCGAGGGCGCAGACTTTTACAAATTTTCCCGAGGTATCGGGGAAATTTAATCACTAATTTCACGAGTGACATGGTATTACTTTGTAATACTATTATCGGCGAGGAAGTAAGGAAACATCTTTGATATCATGTTCAGTTTTCTAGTCAAGGAAGCGTAAACAACGCCGCCAAAATGCATAACTAGCTCTTTAGCGTATTATACACCTAGGACACCTAGGCTTGATAATGATGTAATCAAACAATAGTTTTCAAATACATTACTTTGTCTTCATTGTGTAATTGATTCAACATTTGTTCGTTAGTACTATTTCATGCACTTGTTTTGTAGTCCCTTAGGGTACCAAAGATAATATTTATATCGCAGAATTAAAATTCGTATACAATGCTCAAACAACATGTCTGAGAGGTTTTCGTTTAGAACAGACAGCTAAGTTCAATAAATCAAAATTGATTATATCAGTTTTGCTGTATTGAACGCTATTTGTTTCGATGCTTCATTTCGAGTTGGCAAAAGTGTAAGTGCAATGTGGTGCTATAGCAAACGATTTTAAACAAGTGATTTTTTATTATATTATTTATGTGACTGCGAATAAATCTGTCATAGACATTTTCGTGTTTTTTTAGCTAAGTGCACAGGCATGCGCAGTTAGGTAAACAATGTCCCACATGCAAGACATGCTAGTGCCATATGGTGTAGGAGACCTGTTTTCAGTAGAAATTCTTATGAGGGGTATCTACAATATTGTAGTCTACTATATTTTCATTGTGCACTGCATTAGGGAAGTATAGAAGGGAAAGGAACTCCAATTTTCCTCATGAATAACATGAGGGAAATTCGAGTTTGTAAACCCCTCGGAAGACAATGGAATCCGAGGTGATCATGGTATTACTTTGTATATATCAGTCCATGTTCGAGGTAATATACTATAAACAAAGCTGAAGCTGCGCGAAAACATTAATCCTTTTGATTCCCCTGAGCCTCGTCCTCACTTCTCAAGTAGTATTCCTTCTATTCTCCTTAAATAGATTTGATTTCGCCTTCAAGTGCAGAAGCTGTATTATTTCAAGAAGCATCAATTTTTTATAAGTTTGTCAAGAACAACTTGAAAATTACCGATCAGGGAGAAATGATGCTTTCACAAGAAAAGATTCCCAAAGACTTCGATGTCCGATACTCTCGGGTAGCTGAACGGACCTCATATAGGGTCAGATCTCCCGATGGAAACCAATTTACAGCTCGGCTATCACATGAGACCCACAACGATATTGAAGGAACAAGAGAACTGTTTGGAGACTTGGTACGTCA